AAGTATGAGAGAAAACATAGTAAAATAATCTATCATAAACCGAATGATTTACTGAAGCATCTATCTCGACATATGACAGATAAATCTTTTATTTCATAGTTCATTCATCTGTATGTAATTTTATATTTTTACCTTTATCCATTATAATTTGACCTAACTGGTTATTCTTAAATATAAAATACGACTTATCTTAAAAAAAAACAACTATACTGTTTATCGAGTATACCTACTAAAACATTGTCGGCATTTTATACTTTCTCTATGAATTTTTTCTTCAAAATGTTTGATAATTTTGATATTTTAAACTCGACTTTGTTTGTACTAAATAACCACTTTTTTGTTATAGAAAAGATTCAGTCTTGAAAACTTGAACTGATACCATGCGAGTTTACTCGCGTGATTCATAAAAAATTCTGATTGAATTTGTCTTTTCTCTAAATACATTAGAATGTTTATATGTTTATCCCCGAATTGCTCTGTTAATGATCGACGCATATATTCTCAACTTAGTTGAGAGAGAAGTTACAGAAAGACGATATCGAAGACGACGGGCGTCATAAGAGCCAGTGCAAGTTTCCAAGTCTTTAGCTTTTCTGTAATAAAAATCGATTATAAAATAAAATCTATTTAGTATTTGACTCATACATCATATTCTAGAAATAAAATAAGTCTTTTGAATGATTTTACACACATTTAACTGATAGAAAATCTACGATACTGTTGCCAATAGAAATATCGAATACTTTTTATTTTGGTGAATTTCGCCAACCGGAATTTTCATCACCTGAATTTCGACTAGAAATAAAAAATACGATCGTTGGGGTTAAATAACTTTTATTGTCGAAATTCCGAAAGAATTTTGGCAATTATCGAAAGTCTTTCGGAATTTCGATATTGCTGAAATTCAGATGGCGAAATTCCAGTAATCTCACTCAAAACATTGACAAAAACACAGAAGAGTGAGGTACATCTGCCTGAGGTAGTTCTGATGTTAACTTTTCTTTTCAACGTTTAGTTTCTTATATCGATCAATAGCGTGACTAATCTTATATAATCTTTAATCCTAGATTTCTCTAGTTAACAAATTAATCCTGATGATGTTTTTTTCCTATTGAATACTATTAATGATATTTCACACCTGATCGATATCTAAACAAATTGTTATTTTTTTGATAAAAATCAAAAAGAAAAACATCTTGTCCATGATGAAAAGGACGTATACAAATATTAATAATTAGATCACGATGCTTCTATAATAATCAAGGTTTTTATTTGCTTGAAAAATTATTTATTTCTTCTCACCCACCGAGCGACAATGACACTTTAACTTAACAATAAATTATAAGTATATATGTCATAAATCAATTATTACTCTTTCTCTAGAGGGTAACACACACACACACGTATATATATATATATCTACATTTTTTCTTTTTTGAAACTTTGAGGATATTATCTAGCTACTTACAACAAAACGTATATAAAAAATCCCAGGACGTCGAAAACGGTGTAATTAATTGCCAATTAAATGTCATTTAATACGCTGTTAATAAGCATTTAAATGGTATTTTTATGACATTTGACCCCGTTTTTAGGCTCTATAATCTGGCATTATTTTCACCGTTATTTCAAAGTCGAAAAATTGTGATTGTAATGGCTGTTAAATGACAATTTTCATTCGATATTTACACAATTAACAGGCTATTTTTTGACATACAGTTAACAGGCTGTTAATGGACAATTAAATGCCAGTTTTCATCGACCTGGGAATATTCCTGATTTTTCAGTAAGAAACGTAAACATAGATAAAAAATAATGAAATTTTACAGTGCATCTTGCTGTTTGTCACTAAAACATAATTTCACAGTGTATGGTGAAGGTACATACAGTACATTCTCATCATAATCATTTGCATACGTCACTCGTTTTGACCGAAATATCGAAAACTATGAATTGTTCTTCTTTTTTTAAGATAAAAATTGGTATTCGTTTATGGAATCCATCATTTTATGATTCAATTCATTCATCAACACCATCGTTCATTAAAGTTGATAAATTACAACGACAAATAACAGTGTCGGATCAAAAAAATAATAAAATTTCCAATTCAAATAACGTTAATCCTTCAAAAACATTTTCATTCGATCAAATATTTGTACCAGAAGAATCAAATTTAGATATCAGTGGAAAATTATTAATTGAACTAATACATACGTTAATTAATGGTAAAAATTCAACATTTATTTGTATTGGACATTGTAGAGAAGGTATTTTAATACACCACGATCATAGACTAGTTATTTATTTATATTCGTTTCTTTTTTTTTCTAGCAAACTATCATTGTTTATTTGGAAATTTACTTAAAAAATGTTCTCCCTCTGTTGATATAGAACAAACCGGTTTATTATTATGCGCTATAACATGGTTGTTTCATCTGATAGCTAATCAACATTGTACGAAAGTATTTGTACGAATCAGTGCACAAGAAGTTAAAGACAAAAAAACAAGTGTGAGAGATTTATTGAAGAATGAAGATAATAACAATAATAAAACAGGTAGGTGCAATCGAATATCTGCTCACAATGAAAATTTAGTCAAATTTTCAAAATTTAAATATAACAGTTTTACTCCACATCAGTTAAATTAGTTCTTTTATCAGCGATGAGAATCATGAGTATTCTGAACGTGATGGTCAAGTGATTCATTTCTGATAGACAATAGATATTAGATATTTGCCTTATGAAATGTTATTTTTCTAATGGTGCATTTTTGAAAAATGCAAAAATCGATAAATAACGTAACTTTCTTTTCAATAATGTAGCCATTTTATGGTATATAAATTAATTTTATCTTGTTATAGCTTCGAATATTCAATACTTTCAACAGCAACAAGTTCCAAGTGAACATGTGGTTACCGGTTATGTAAATGCTGCTCAATTGATTAATCGAGCATTTGAAAATTTAACACATACTGATGATTGTAATAATACTCTAATAATAACCATTCATCTCTATCAACATGATGATGAACATAACAATAATCACAGTTGTCTACATTTTATATGCCTTGGTCATATTAGTGAAATGACAACACATTTTGGAAATATTCTAATGGCTACAGTTAATGGACAAAAACATATGCCACTATACAACAAGTAAACAGATAAAAAGACAGAACTAGTAATTGAGATATTATTACGTATCCCTATTTTTGTGTATTTTAGTGTGGATCACCATCGTTGTGCACATTATTTAACAGAATATATTGGTGATTGTCATCGTCTATGGTTATTAGCTAATATAAATGTACCAACATGTCAACAAACAGATATTTTACATACGTTACAAATTATGTCCAAATTACATCGAACATTCAAAAGAACAATGAAACACAAAACAAAGGTAAACGGATTATGATTAATTTTATGAAAGAGAATTGCACTCTGAGAAGTCTTTTAGATTCATAATGGTTATTTACTATCAAAATCATTGCTACAACGAAATTCAGATTTGAATTGTTTACCAAATTCGAACGCATCTGCTGAAACTGTTGACTGTTGCGGATCAATGTCAAAAGATGGTTGCTCATTAACCACATTAGAACATTTAAGAAAACATATGGAAACTGTACGTTCAAAACAACCAAATGAAGTTTGGGTCGATGGGCCACTTTCAAAAACGAAACAGTTAACAAAAAACGAAATATGGATAGATGGGCCACATGAATTTCTATCAACGTCCAAACATCGGGAACAAAACGATGTAACCAACTGGAAACCAATGCATACAAAAGCAAAAGTTATTGATTCTTCACCTGTTGACAGTGAAAAGTAAGTTCAAATTTATTTATATAAAATATTGATACTCACAGAGAGTTCTCTTTGTCTTAGAATGCGTAATACCGGTGATTTAATGCAATCTTCTCTTGATAATGCACATATATTATCGAATAATACAGTCTTACGTCAGCGTTTATTAAATGATCAACTACCGCCCTCTTCGACGCCTGCATCCCTTATTCTTCTGTCACCAAAACGTGGCATATCACCATTTGTCAAGTTAAATTCGAATTTAAATAACAAAATTCATCCGACTCATCTACAATTTGGTTGTTTAAAATCTGAAGAGCAAACAGCATCCTTTTCGAACCATCGATCACCAATGTTTCGTCAAAACCGAACTACTGACGACATAACCGATGATAATTGCAGTACCTGTAGCGAAAGTGTCATTAGTTCTCGATGTCATGTACCACAATTAATACCATTAGAAAAAGATCCACTGTTGCCATTTCGTTGTTTAACCAAACTTTCACCGCCGATGACCCGTTCAATAAGCTCCGTTAAAGTACGAGAAGATCCTTGCGTACAAAAAATAGACATCGGTGATCAAGAAACTTTAGCAGTAACAATTAAATCTGGTTGTCATACATTACCGTCTACATATCGTTCACAACGGCAACGATTACCGATACCGACAACAACTCAGACTACTGGTAGCCAGAGTACATCAGCTGCGGTATCAGCGTTAGTTGGCTCATTTTATGCTCCAACAACAGCACCTCATCAAGGTTTATTAATGCCCTATTCGTCACAAACATTGCCTAATAGGCATTCAACTATTAGTAAATCGATTGATGACGATATGGAATCATTACAAAAAATATTAGAAACACTTATTGTGGATAAAAATGATGAAAAATCATTGACACGATCATTACAATCAATTAAATCGACGCCAATAGTAACTGATATTAACTCGACAAGTCTACTAGAAACAAAACAACCTATAGAAATAATGTCCAAAGAAGAGAAAACAAAACGTTTATCAAGAATTGTATCACCAAATCGATTAGAACGGTTGCAATCAGCTATGTAGGTCGAAAGTTTGATCTTTCTGTTTAAAGTTGACTTCACTTCTTAAATTTAAGATTAAATATACAGATGACATCAACCGAAGCACATATTCGGTCAGAATAAGTTCTCTGGTTAAGATTGCAATGAGTAACGAACAAAGATGTCATCTATTATCAATGTAACCTTCTTATTACAAAAGAGAGCTAATAATCAATTATATTTTTTCTAGGAATAATGATGAAGTTCATAATCCAACATCACCATCTCCCACTAACCGACTACCATCTCAGTCATTTATTTTCAATCGTCAAATCAATTCTCAGGCAGGCTCAGTACCTAATTCACCCTTACCAAAAACAAAACAGTATGTCATGTCATCAACACCGGGTACACCACAAATTTACCATCGTACCGTCGATCAACAAAACTATCAATTACAACGGTCGAAACGTTCTAAAAAACCGAAAACACCTGCACGTACAACAAGTTTAAATCCAGCTCATTCAACACTGCGGTATTCGTTGACTGATTCATCATCTACAACTTTGAAACAATCAGATTCACCAATTTCATCTCAAAAACTACTAACCAAGAAATCTGATTGCATAAGTACAACAAATCGTTTGTCCATTCTACAACGTATATTTGGCATGAAAGATACGACGACGAATACAACGAAAAATATACCACAATCACCGAAGTTAACTACAAAAGTGAAAACATCCACACCAACAAGACCATCGACTGTTGGGAATGAGAGCGTACTATCACAAAATTTACTTACTCATACGAGTTTGACACTCGATTTACAAAATATTTTACCGTTAAGTAGTACATTGTCCAGTGGACGAGCAAGTTCAAGTGGTTATGAGTCAATGAATAATAGAGATTCGGGTTCAGGCTCATCACACAACGATTCAGCTGAAGATTCTTCGTCGAAAACGAGAAGTAAATCAGCGAGAAAATCAGGTATGTTTATATTCAACCTTCACTATCTTTCTTTACTAAAAAGATGGTTTATATTAGATGAACGACGTTCGAATAACAATACGAATAATAGTAGTGCATGGAGTCCACGATTAAATAATATGAATGGAATTCGCACAAGTAAGGTAAATGCATGAATCAAGCTAATGTGTATTTTGATATATGAGTGGTTGGTTATATTATATATCTGTTTATCATAGACTCGTGATAAAATTCAAACAACTCACGCCAAACACCAACAACAATCACAGCTAAATCGAATTCAAAGTTTAAAACAACGTCAAGACGAATTAAAATTAGAACTGGCAATGACAAAAACGTTTTTCTTAATCGATAACAATCAACAATGGAATTACAATGGTAACTCTTAATTAATAAATTGAATTATTTTGATATATCTTTCTCTATTTTTAGCTTCAAATATTAGTTCAAATATGAATGATGAAGATGTTTTAGAAAAAGAAATTGAACTATTGGAAAAACGACTTGTTGCTACTAAATCTCATTTAATGTTTTCCACATCGTTTAATGATAAACAAACGAAATCCTAGAAGTATCCTGTGATGTTATGTATTTATTTTATCTATGCAGTTGATGTTTTGTACATATTCTGTCTTGAATGATCCGATATTTTGCGCTTTTCTTTTTAATGAATTAAATACTGTTTATCAGTTTTCCTATGGAAAACAACAACTCATTATTTCAATTTTAATTATGTTTTTTTTGTTGAATGCGCAGTTATTACAGTATATATATATATATATAAAATTTCAATTAAAGCAAAATTAGAAGAGATTTGAAACGAAAACATCTTTTTCACAGATTTTCAAAGAAAGATGATACAGATTTATTGTATAAAATCAAAGCGGATTTTAAAATGATCGAAGAAGGCGCGTTATTCTCTAACGATCATCAAAATTCATAGCTACTCCTTGTGAATAAATCACAATTGCTAACCACGCACCTTAGTACGGAAAGTGAGATAGATCGACTTTGAGCCGCTCTATGCAATCAAGATGTTTGGCAAACTTTGATATGATTTCCATTTTCATAAATTTTCGAAGACTATCAGCGATGAAAGTGGTTTTTTCAATTGTTACTTGATACTCTGCACTGCTTGGCCACGTCAATCTGCTACCGCAGCGAAACTCTGTCACGGTATTTTTCCATTTTGTTTCTCTTTTCCAGCAAAAACACGCTCATTCATTGCAGTACTTTTTATGTTTGAGAGTAGAATATGATCGCGTTTTTTCCATAAGAATGAAAACTTGGAGTTTAAACACACATTTTTAAATCTTTTGAGAAAAACCGTTGTTAAAAACAGAAAATTTGGTTTAAACGCTCATTTTTTTGTGGTCGTTTATACGCAAAATCAAGCCAAAATGAAGTTCTACCCTTTACAAATTTGTGCAAACGTCGAATATGTAGTCGTGATCCGCTTTTTTGCAGTCCGGAAGATCGGAATGCAAAAAGATCGAATGTTCGGAACGGTAACCAAAAAAATGCGGATGTTGGGAATGAAAGCCGTCTGAGTGTACGGAACGGCATAAGCCAAGGCTTTTTAGTGTTTTTGTACACAAAAATGTCTGGATGTTCGTAACAATCCCTCACGTTTTGTTACGAACATCCGGAAAAACGATTTTAGCCTATACAGATCCGATTCCGAGTATCCCGTCACTTGTTCGGACGTCCGGAAGACTAAGGACGAAAAAGGACGGCCTCTTATTTCTGTAGCTTTGAGCTGACAATGAATATTTAGAGCTTTTCTTGTAAATTCTATAACTTTGCAAAGAAAGGTCGTGTAGAGTTGGGAAATGTCTCATTTTAATCAGAAATTTGCGGGCTACAATCATGTCTCATTAAGAAAGCTTTGGATTATTTTTTTCGATACCCTGTATCGATCGACGTATAGACGAACGAAATCGGAAGGTACCATTTGGATAGGTTTCCTCGTAAGCACAACAGTCCTGACTGAACTTCTCTAAGTTGCATGGACTGCGGAGTAAATGACGCTAAAGAAATTTCGAAGTATTTTGGGTAGAGAAAGCGGATCACGACTACATATTCGACGTTTGCACAAATTCTGTTTTTTTCTTTCACAGAATAACCTATTGTACAAACATTTTCTGCTTCAGTTTAAAACGAACCTAAAAACAAATGGTTATTCGAAACTGGTTGCGTTTAGATGTAGACGAAAAAAGCCTTGAAACAGGAACAACATGTAAGTACATTTGAACGTAGACAAATAAATTGAACGTTTAAATACAAATGAAATAATTGTTCGTTTACTTTTATGTTTTTTATTGAAAATGAGCGTTTAAACGAAAAGATAAAATAATCTCTGTTAAACGCAAATATTTTTTGTAGCCGTTTAAACAAAAACCGTCGGGCCAAATCAATCATTTGCTTTAGAACAGAGAAAAGGATTGTGAAAGTTGAAACGAGAAGATGTAAAGTCAACGTTTAAACGGCAACAGGTAAGTAAGCGCTTAAACGCGAATATCTCTGTGAACGTTTTAAGATGTGGGTAATAGTAAAACATGAAGACACCCACAGACACCCGCAGACACCCACAGACACCCACAGACAGCACACAGACACCCACAGACAGCCACAAACAACCACAGACAGCTGCACAGACAGCACACATACAACCACAGACAGCCACAGACAGCTACACAGACATCCAAACACAGACATTCATACACAGACATCCATGGGTGTCTGTGTAGCTGTCTGTGGTTGTATGTGTGCTGTCTGTGGGTGTCTGTGGGTGTCTGCGGGTGTCTGTGGGTGTCTTCATGTTTTACTATTACCCCTGTTATACTACGGTAAAAACTCTCATCGGTACTACTTTTTGACTCTTTTCCTGTGAATGATTATCTATGTACTGTGACAATTGACTACCACTTTTTGGTTTCAAACGAAAGAACTATTTATCCAAAGTAAATGACTGCCGTAAATGAGTCATATTGACTGTAAAGCGAATTTTTCTGTAATAAAAACTATGGATTAGTGCTTTGAACGAATGTTAAAGGGTAGAAGAAGAGAGTAGTGTTACAAAAAGTAGTGCATACTTTGGTCGTTCCCATTCCAAAAAATTTTCCAATAGAAAGAAAATGGCTGGTACCTCTGGAAAGTAATCATATTTGCTCGGTCAGAAAAATAGTCACTTAAGAGAAATTTTACTGTAGAATCAAACTATACGAGTTTAATTGAAAAAAAAATGCCTTTGCTTTTATTATTTACTACGGTATGATGTAGATTTAATCATTATTTCACAATAAAACTAGACAGGATGCTCAACTCAGTTAATCTAAACATTGGACTAATATTTGATTGATATGTAAATGAATCGTTAAAATTGTGATTTATTTTAGTGATGAAAGATTTTGGTTACCTGTTGAAAAAAAGTTATCTGATCAAGAAATATTTAAACGAGAAACATGTCCGTTACTTCATTTCGGTGTGAGGTAACATTTGTAAAAGATGATCATGCGATAATGTGCTCATTCTAAGCCTTGTTTTTCCTAGATTTGTGTTTAAATCATTTATGTGGCTACAAAGTCCAACTACTGTTATGTTATTTTTCTTCTATACCAGACTGGCAATTTATCGAGTAAGATCAACATTTTTTTTGAATAAGAAATCGGGCTTATATATACTGTTGTTGTTTTTTATAGGGAATTATCGATACTAATGATGATACACTATTTCAATTAGCTGGTAATAAATTTATTCTTTGCATTGTTCAACATCTGTTTATCATAATATTTTTTTTACACATTTAGGCTTCGTAGTACAATCTATTGCTGGAGATTACACTAGGTAACATCATAAATAATCTTAACAATGTCAACATAGCTTGTGACTTACATAGCTGTTGTTCGTTTTAGTGACGAAGCAGCAATTGAGACAATTAAACTGGCAGGTGTCCTTCCAAAACGAGTAGTAGAAAGAAATACTTCTCGGATATACTGGTAATGATTGTTCCCTTTTCTCTGTATTTTTTTTTTTCATCTTATCTTAATTATATCATATTATCTCATCTTAAACAATATTTTACCTTTTTTTTAGTGAAGATCAAATAATTATTCATTATAAAAGTTGTAAAGATCTTGATCGAGGATTCTGTATAGTCAAGTATGTATGATAGTCTATTTTTTTGTATTACAGTTCTGTTCAAATTTTAGTCATTTTTATTTTCATTAGATACATGATGATAGCAGAAAATTTACCAATGTATGGTGTACATTATTTCGCAGTTCGGGTTAGTAAAGTATTTTAAATGACAAACTATTAACAGGAGAAAAATACTCATAACTCAAAAAGGTTCATAGAATTATTAAAGTATTTACATCGATGTAAAGTAATTAAACAGTGATAAATTGTTATCCTCGTATTATTTATTATTCAAGAATCTTTTCTTTACTAATACTAATGAAATTTATTTCTAGAATAAAAGCAATGCTCCTGCTTGGTTAGGAATATCATTTGTGGGTATCTCTGTGTACGATTATCATGATAGAGAAAATCCATTAAAAATATATTATTGGCGATCACTAGAAAATCTTTATTATAGAGATCGAAAATTTAGTCTTGAAGTTCATGATTTAGAGTAAGAATTATTATATTTTTGTTGATTCATATAGTGTGCTATGTACATACTCAATTTAGATCCAGTAATTCAACTCCTTCATTAACATCCACACCATATACCCCAACGTCGACAACATCAATAGTGACTGAACCTGATGATAAGTTAATTGATGCAATGCACGATCCATCAACACAGTAAGGACAAAAAAAAACTGTGTACGAGATGGAAGTGTCTACTGATGAAGTAGTAGTAGTACTACTACCGTATTATAGAACAATGAATTTTTATCTATTTATGAATGAATTGTTACATATTTAATAATTTTATTAATTTAAGGATGTCGGCTGGACGACGTACAAATACAACACCAAATATTAAAGTTCGTGCATGGTTTACTAATTCACCTCAATTTTGTAAAGCAATATGGGTAAGATATATGTGAACAACTTAATCAATGATTTTATTTAACTGTTATGATAAATTTCAGTCAATGGCTGTTGCTCAACATCAGTTTTATCTTGATAAAAGAAATTGCAGGGTATTTCATTTTAAAACTTATTTTTTATACGACACTTAGTACTTTGATTTTTTGTTTTTTTTTAGCATAATCAATCTCTTTCAATCAATAATCTCGTTCGAGAATTATCAAATTCAACTTTGACACTTTCAGTTGATAATGCACTACGAAATGGCTCGTTATCAAGATCAAACAGTGGTATGTAGTTTGTTTAAACTCTTTTTTTCATACCATACAAATAAATGCTTCTCTAGCCGTGACAACGTTAGAGCAAAATGAACAAGTAGAAGTTGACGTTCAACAATTAATGGATTTGATGAAACAACGGAAACAGCATTTTGAAAAGATTCTAAATGATAAATTACAAGGATATAATCAATTGTGTGTAATGGAAAAGGTTACTAAATGTCAATAAAAATCAAACAGAAAATAAATTTTTGTTATCTTTTAGCAACTAACGGGTACACTGTCGGATGATTTTGTTCAAGCGCATTCATCTGAAAATCAAGATAACACAAATCAAAGCATGGATGAGTTACTAAATGAGCGGGAACAAGAGGTATATCATTAAATTCTTAAAATTCTTTTCTTGCCACGTCTTACATTGAGTATTGGGAGGTGCACATGAGGTTGTTTAGATTTAGCACTAAAAATAGACAGTCCTTTTTTAGACTGTGGATATTAGATCTAAAGATTCTGTTATATATAAATTAGGTTATCAAACTAAATCAGTTAAAACAAGAGCATGAGATTCAATCAAAAATTGTTAATACAGCCAAAAAATTATTACATGATGAAGCAACTGGAAATAGAAATTTACTTGATTCAGTGTTAAAACAAAGATTTGAGTTTTACAGTAATGTTAAAGAAAAGGTATTCTGGAATCTTCACTCTGTCATTTATTATTTCTTAATTCTTTTTCCTCTCGTTCGTTCTTCAGCTTGAACGTTTAACAAAATTAATTGATACTACGCAAAAAGATTTGGGATCACGTTATCCTTATATCAATAACAATACTACAAGTATACCAATGTATTTAATAATTACTTATCTACATCTCATATTGTTTATTTTCTATTTCAAGCAAAATCGTCGGTGAATGTAATGAACAGTACAATACAGAACAGTTCTTCTTCTCCTTCACAAAATTTTGTTACTACTCAAAAATCGTCTTCTTCATCACCCAATGGTATAACAAAACAACATCACAGTCCAGCAAGAAGTCCATCACCCAACGTATGTTTCCGATTTGTTGGCTAATTTAACAACTAATACTTCATTTTTCTTCGTTTTTAAGTTTCATCGAACATCTTCTTATAAACGAGCTTTAGGAAATCATCAACGCAACGCGCACACAACCACCGCGAATAATCATTTAGTTAGTGATAATCAACCATCACAATTTAATCTTGATCGAAGGTAACATATTTTCTAGTTTTAGACGAAGAGATTATACATAGCTAATCGTGTTAAAAACTTCATTTTTATTTCCTTTTAATTTCAGTCATTCCTCAGATGTTGTCAGTGTTGCTGGTTTACCTCCAGAGTCACCGGCTACTTTCAATCGTAAACATAGTAGTCAACAGTTTCCTAACGTCATCATCCCGCCATCTTCTACGTCCTCTTCATCGACAGCGCCGTCTGTTCGAAACCGTGTGCGAGATCGAAAACAACAGTCTGGTGCAAAACACAGACAGAAAGTCAACAATAAACAAAATGTAGATAATACAGAAACGGTAGCAACCATAGACGACACAACAAATACTACACCGACCTCTAATATACGTAGCCTTGATCGAAGACACGTTCGAAGAATTGATGACAATACGCCACCAACGCAAACAAATATAAGCACAACAGATATTTACGGTAGTTTAGAACGTAATAAGCATAAAATATCAACTCCCACCTTAGGTATGAATGGATTACAACACGACTTTTATCATTTATCAACGAATAAAAATGATTTATCGGCACTGCAACAGATTAACAATGATTATCCGACGCATACGACATCAACAATTGTCACAGTTGGAAACGTAATTCATCCAAATTTCGATCAAGTCAATAACAGCCGTTCACGTCGCCCTCCACACGCACAAAAACAAATGACAGCTGTCTTTCAACCCCATTATGATCGACTCGATACGTGTACAACATCAACTACCCATCCACAGCATCACTATCAGCAACAAAAACTTGGTGCAGTCGGAGTTTCAAATAATCTTATTGATAATAGTTATTACACGATATCAGGTGAAACTGGTCAAAAACATATATCGAGTCACAACAACAATCAAAATCGAAGACGACATAACGACGTTAGACATTTAGTCGACGATAACTTCTATCAAAAGTCATCAGATCAAACTTATCCATCACAGCAGATACCGCTAACGATGCATCATTACGAAACATCACCATTATTAGTAAGACGAGTTAATATCGATCACCTTTATCCACAAACACGAGCAAACTTTCAACAACAGCATTCTTCCAATCATCCAATTAATACGCTAAATCAGCGTCATATCTCATCATTGTTACAACAACAGCAGCAACACCGAACTATGAGTGGTGGATTACATCAAAGTACAACGGGACAACAAGCATCCTCAGCATCATTACTGTTTCGACCACATTCATCACAATCATCTAGTTCTCACTCGTCAGGGTAAGTATTTTAGATGCTTTTTTTTCCAAAAGATATGTCTATTTCTTGACTGTCTTTTGTTTGTGTTTTTTTAGACCAACACGATTAGAATCAAATAGTTCAATGAACTCAAATAGCTTTCACGTTGCTGACGAGTTTTCTGATGATATCATGCTTTGGCTAGCCACAACACATGGAGGAAACTCGGCAACGCTCGTGTAATTCAGTGCTTTTTGTCTTGTTTTCAACATAAGTTTTTTTGTTTTTTTTAATACAGTGTTTCTCACCTTTTGTGTTATTTGAATGTGCAACTTCAATTTATTTTTTATTTTTCATAGTCAGTGTTTGTCTTCAGACGGTTTGGTGTATCTTCAATAAGAGTAATAGCAATACAATAAAAATAACAATCTTAGATTGTTTGATAATAAAAATATCACGAGACTATAGCTAAAATTGAATGTTTGTTAAGCAATACTTCTTGTTATCGAAATCTATTTTTATTTTGTTTTCCGTTTTGTAAATGTTTATATCAATCAATTTACTAAGAACGTCAAATTTCTTCTATTTTTTTTCTTCTCGTGCTTTCTTGTTAATTACGATTTTTTTTGCAGTTCTCTTTTCTTTTGTTCATACAATCATCACTTTTTCATTTATGTAAATCAACATACATATCTTTTACCATTATTTATCATTTGGACTGTTTTTTCTTTTTTCTTTTTCTGATTGTTATTGACCTCTTGTAACGGATCGAAAAAACGATGTTTTTTATATGTGTATTATGTATCTTTATATGTCTCTTTATATAATAATGCAAAAACAAAGTATCTGAATTTCTACACTACACAGCATGAGTTGCAGACAACAATATCCGGATAAATTCAAAGCCTGTAAAGCAAGGAAATTATTTTTAATATATATACTGAAAAATAGTGAAAAGTATCCTAAACTACAAGTGTCGCAGCATTTATTATATCTCGATACGGTGTAGATATTGGACTTAAATTTAGTTATCCAGATAACAGTATATCATTTCTGACTGTTGTTTTTAAGATGGATTCCATTTAAGCATACATTCCTTTATTTTAGAAAAAAGTTTTTATTTTTGAGACAAACATAGTACATGTGAAAATTTTGATACCGTCCACGATGTGAATACGCGTGGAAACTTTTTTACAATATTTCGTGAAACATTACTTTGCACGCGTGATCACTAATGCACAGACACAAGATACGTATCAATGAAGCGTCGACACTAGTTAATTTGTCGCTTTTTTCGTGAATTTTGAACACGCGTTAAAAAGTTGTTCACGGCAGTTTCATGTGCGAACACGAGGGAATATTCCATGCGGGAATTAGCGTGCAAAAGTATCTTGCTAGAGAACACATGAGGATAAAAAAATGTCTTTCATAAACACCAGTTAATTTA